GCCTAGCACAGTGGCAGTTGCCATAAAAAGTTGAGTAATGATGGTGGTAATTTGAAACTCAGTTGGTAGCACAGCCTTCCACACATGCTCTTCGGTTATGGAAGTGTGGGATGATCAACAGGACTTTCGAATAGCTCCATCCGCTCCTGCTTCCAGCATGCCACACCTGGCATTCAGTCATCAGCACGTTTTATTGTTTTACGCTGTATTTTCCCTGTGTAGTAGACAGTCAGGAGGCAGCAGGCAGATTTTGCAGTAGGGTACCTCAAAGATCTTGAGCGCTTCATGCAGTAACCAAACATGAAACAGATCAAATTTTAAAATAAAAATTACCCCAATAAAAAAAAATGGAGGAAGAAAATTTTGCAACCTTTTGAAACCAGGCATGGCTTATATATGGATTTCTACAGTGACAAAAGCACGGGTGTTTTTCACTTCATATTGATGTGTGCAGTCATGACCTGGCTCCTGAAGTGGTTCAGCTTTTTCTGTGCTTTGTATGGTTGTAGTCACCACAGGAGACAGCCAAGCTGTTTGCATTTACTATATTTTTATCACCACACTTGTATTGTAGCGATGTCGTTTATAGAACCAGAGTTGTAAGGTTAGGCTTCTGATGCGACTGTATTGTGTGACCAGTGTCACAGATTCCAGTAGAAAATCAGCTGTCAGTACTGCTAGTAGGGAGCTTGGGACATATGTAGGGTTTGGAATTAGTTTTCAAAGCACGAATTAGCATCTTGCTCGTCTAATAACGTGTCTGTGTTACTTTTAGCACTTGGGATGCAAAGCAAGGTCCGGTGAAGGATGCCTACAGCCTGGCTAACAACCCTCAGTACAAGCTAGAGGTCCAGTGTCCGCAAGGTGGTGCTGCCGTCTGGGTTCTGCTTAGCAGGCACATCACAGATAAGGTGCCGGGTTCTTTTTCTCACGTTTTCTGTATGATGAGTTCTATAACATCTTCTGTAACTCTTTTTGTATAGCTTTCTGTGGTATTGGTATATTACTGCTTATATTTTCATGTTCAAGAATGTACACCTGTGTATATGTGTAAATTTTAAATTCAGCAGGTACATGTTATTGTATACAAGATTGTTGAAATAGACCCAGAGTGGAAATTTGAGTGAGGTGATTGTATTCTCCACCATAAAGGTAGTGAAATAATTCTGAACTGTTATAAGTGAAACTAGTGGCAGTTTGTTTATTTTGGGGGTTTTGTTTTGTTTTGTTTTTTTAAATAATTGGATCGGGTATCTCGGTAAATACAAATGTCAGTGATGTGGTGATCAAAGGGGATGATAGAATGCATACTTGATTCTGCTTAAGCATTGATTACATTCCACAGAAGTGTACAACTCTACTTGATTTGTGTTTTTATAGGATGACTTTGCACACAATCGGGAATTCATTACAATGGTTGTATACAAGACTGATGGCAAAAAAGTTTACTATCCAGGTTAGTGCACCTTAATTGTCAAGAAGATTATAGAAATAAATGAAGAATTGCAAAGGATTTTGTGGAGAGGGAAACCACTTTTTGCTTTAAAACTAGATGCCTCACTCTAAGAGGTCAGTCTTCTGGAATAGTCGTTTCACCCTGTTTGACCACCTCCAGCAGTCCGGGCTGAAGGAACAAGCCAAGCTGTTCGAGTTGGAAGCAGCCTGCAAGGTCTGCCTAGTCCTGCTGACATTTAATTTGGCACAGCATTTTCTTTATTGCTGCTGATTTTTGTAGTGGCGGTAGTTAATGCTTCGAGCAAAGAGATGTTGTGCTTCTGTTTATCTGACAGCATAATTATTTCTCAGATTTGCAAAATTATGTAAAGGTTTACAGCTTCCACTAAGTGAAAATAATCAAGGTTCAATGTTCTATGAACTTGGCTTAGGAAAGTACCTAAGCAAGCTCAGGAGGTCCAGCTGAACATTTCAACATATTTCAAAGTATCAGGTGCGGAATGTTTAAGAAAAACATTTAAATGTTCAAATTTTATCAGAGTATTACTCTTTGTCGTTATAGGTCAGATTCTACCTACCTTGAGAAGAAGGGGCTTGGCTTTTGGAGCTTTGTTGTAGCTGCAAAAAGGCCACATATGTTTTATTTCAAGACAGGTAGCAGATGTGAAACGCAGGTTGAGACACAGAAAGTGAGGGTAGTGTCCGGGTTGAATGGATAGGGTAGACTGCAGCCTTAAGGTAGAGCTAATTATGTCATGGTTTTATTTATTCTTTACATCAAGTTACAAGATCTCTGTAAAAATATTCCTTGGAATAATTCAGTGAAGGTGCATCCTAAGGCAGGTCGGATTTGCCCTGTTGCTTTTACAGATAGGCGACATCTTTAGAACCAGGGTGGCATTCGGGTTGCTGCATGGGCAACAGGTCATTGGAGAGTAGCTTTTACAGCTCTTGTCACCAAAGAGCGGAATTTGCGGTTGGGTGTTTTTCCTGTCGGAATGGCTGGTACGGGTTGCATTGTTCGTCTCCGGTCTTGTTCAATGAGCTCTGCTGACCGGTTGCCCTAGAACGCAAGGTGTCTTTCTGCGGAAAGCATCTGTTGAGACCTGACCAAATCTCCATCTCTTTTTGTAAGAGCTGATCTTGTTGAAGCATCTGCTTCTCCTTACAGCCCAGGACATGCTTCTGGTGTTGCTGGTACTTGTAGCAGTGCTTATTTTACGTGCTGTCTCACTGAAAACATTCTTAAGTAGGCAAACCAAACGCATTTGTGTAGTGGAGGGGATTGTTCCCTTGTGCTTGAAAGAGACAGTCTACCAGCAAGACCGCTAGCAGGACTGGATGATTCATATGTTTTGTCTCGCTACCCAAAGTCTTTTATAAACTTTTAGTCTCACGAGCTCAAACTCATTTAAACCTTTTTCCACGGAAATAGATTGGTCAAGCTGCAGTATTATTTTTACCATCTGTTAAAATGAGATCAGAACAAAGCAGGTTAATCCTTTGGCAGTGAGGCTGAGATTTCCCATTCCTAAGCTGCTCATTGTTTTATATTAATCCTTTCCCCTCTTCCATGTTGCTTTGTGGAAAAAAATAAAAGGACCTGATTCTGGGCCTATTGAAGTAATTGGCTAGACTTGTTCCTGCTTCACTGGAATTAAAAGAAGTCTGGAAAGAACCAATTAGAGGCCAAATAACAAATTACATTGTCTAACTATAAAAGCAAATATTTGGGATGTTTATAATAAGTAGTGCATGTGCATTGGTACTGGGATGCAACTACACCTGTGTAATGATCACAAGGATTTGGAGAGAAAGTGTGTGTGACTTAGTTACAGAAATTAACGTGGTTTAAAGTCTTGTTTACCCTGTGGCCAAGGATTTTGGCAGCTTGCATTCTGCAACTGTCCAGCCAACGGAGAAGGAACAGAGTCCTCAGAGAGATTTTTTTAGAGAGTGCTCAAACATTCCATATCTCTCTCTGTAAAGGACGAAGTAATCACAGTAGGTCTCCTTTGAGTAGCGACGTTGGTGGGAGATGGATAAGCAGTCCTTGCAAGTCACGGGATTTAAGCTGTACTGTCAAGGGCAGAATTTGTGTCCTCTCATGTGTGATGTACCTCTCCTGAAAATGGTACTTGCTTTTAAGATAACTTGTCCTTTTTATGAGCAAATCTTGAGGCTCTGTTCTTTTGAGAGCACTCAGGTCTGCTGATGGTCCAGCCTTGATACCAACAATATGACTTTCCTGGCAGAATGCACTGATATGAAATGGCAAAGACGTTTAGCAAGCTGGGGGATTTTTGATTGGGGAAAAGTGTTTGTCCTCTTTTTCAGCTGATCCTCCTCCGTATATTGATGGTATTCGGATCAACAGTCCTCATTATCTGACCAAGATAAAGCTGACCTCTCCAGGGCCCCATACGTTTACCTTGGTGGTGTCCCAGTATGAGAAACAAAACACTATCCATTACACCATTAGGGTATGTACTGTTGGTTTCACAATGAATGTAAACAATTAAACTAGAAAGTGTCCTTTATTTGTAAGTTTGATTTTAAAAGTGTACTTCTGGATCGATACAGTTACTTGGGGAGGGAGGCTGTGACTGATGGAGCAGAACCACTGCATGAAGTGTCTGATAACGTTCTCCATCTGTAGTTAAGACAATATAGTGTGTATAGTTTTAGTAAGGAAACTTTAGTAATGAAATCAGCTGCAAAATACTTTTTTTTTTCCTAGAATAAAAAATTACTACCTGTATACAGGCAGAGCATTGGCTCTCTATGTATATGAAATACACCTATTTTAGGTCCCAGTTAAGATTTAAAGTTTTTTGACTTCTCTAAGTCTTTGGACTCAGTATTTGGGTTTTTCTGTAACTGCTGGGTCATGTGATGATCAATGCCAGAGGTCTCTCTTTGTCATGGAAAAGTAAATGCAGATCATTTTCCATTTTGTTTTTTCAAAGAAAAATTAAGTAGAAATAAGTTGTTAGTCCCAGCACTATTCTAGATTTTGAGTTTCAGACAGGGTTGTCTGATGAGTAATACAGGCGTGTAGTGAGCAAGTATCTAAAAATGATGTGTGGGAAATTCTGCTGCTTTTAACGTGTCATGATTTCATATGAAAAGCGCAAGATGAATATGTGACCAGCTGCTTCTTTTACAACACAGGTGTATTCCTTGTGCAAGTTCACCTTTTCCAAGATTCCTACACCTTACACCATTTCCAAACGGGTAAAGAAATATTTTGCTTTGTGGGTCACTGGATAATAAGTCTGGTTTGGCTTTTCCATATTTGAGATGTACAAGGTTTTTAAATGTATTTTTATACTACTGCCCAGAAATGCCAGCTCAGGCCATCTGCTAACAAATGAACCTTCTTAACTAAAGCTGAATCTAAGCATCGTTAGCACCAGACCCATCCTGCACTTAGGTTACGTACGATTTGCCAAACAGTTAGCTGCACTGTGAGCGTAATTCGTGCCAACACAAAGGGCCTTGGGCTGGCTCACGGTTCACACCCCTCTGGATGGATGGTGGCTTAACGTTCACGGGCAGTTGGTACATGAGCTCCACCTTCAGTCACAGTGTGTTGTTCCAGCTCTGCCGTCGCAGGTACGCTGTAAATCCTCTGCAGAATAGACCGGCCTTCGGAATAACAACCTGTACCCTAATATGTAATTACTCTGCAGAGATCAGGTTGTGCTAGTACTGCAAGAGCATTGCTCGTTTTCCCTTGAGAGGATTGCATCATTTTCTTGGAAGAACTCTTGGCATGGTGGGACAAAATCAGGAATGACAAACCAAAGGCACCAGTAGCGAGACTGATGAACA